CTATCTGCTGCCTGCCTCCCTCCTGGAAGTACTTAGTAGGCACACACAATGCAAATTATTTCAAATAATCTTTTAATAATAATATTTGAATAATGTTACTAATATGTCCCTAAAGTATCACTCTTACTGAAACATGCATCAATACTCCTCAATATTTGAATTCTATTATTATAATAACAGTCATTATGTCCAAAAATGTATACAAAATGCATGCTTATGATGCCAGCTGAGTATTCCAAAATGTGATTAGGCCCATAACAAAATACCTTCCATATACGTCTCTGCAATGCTAATAAACTTGTTGCTCTAGAAAACCAAATTTCATAAAACCCTCCAAACTCAACCATGAAAACCAGCACCCATGAGAAGATGAAGCTGCATATAACTGTGATTTCATTAAGGTCTTATTAGACCTGAGAAAGGTCCCTAGATGTCAGCAGTAGAAAGATTACTGGGATTCCACAGTGAACAACACGAGTTTGATAACCATTTATTATAGCTGATACGTATATAATTTCAGAAGTGTTGGAAGAGGAACTAGAAAATTATGTCCAGAAAAAAAGACCAAAATCCTCAAATCTAATATTGCTTCAATCTGTAGTTAAGAAACCAACAATTCATTCTACTGAGCCACAGAAACCCCTCCCCATATTCCAGAATCAGGTTACTAGCACAGTGCACCTCTAGAAATTGGGCATCTATGGATAAAATCCTTCATTATCTACATTTCCATCAAAACACCAAGAAAACTATTTTTCAATATATCACTTACAAGAAATATAATAAGGAGGTTTAAAAATTGTTTGGGAGCTTGGATTTACAGTTCACGTATCAATTTTGAAAAATATGCACATATGGATATATTAGATAAAATGCTGATATATAGACTTCAATAAATGGTGTTATTTGCTATTGGGTAGAGGGCATTAAGGAATACAGAATGTTTGGGAAACAGTGAGAAGACTACTATATAGTTATTATAGGTATCTGGACTTCCCAGTTTAGTATCTCACAGATATATATATAGATAGATAGATAGATAGAAAAAATTGAATTCAGTTCAATTATATATATATTTTTTAAATATATATAAAATTGAGTTCAGTATCTTTAACATCTAACCTAGCTTTCAAAACACACATAAATAAAAAGAAAATAAATTGGTTTTTTTTGTTCTCTTACTGTTTCATTTTTAATCATGAAACAAATACCATTATCTCTTTGCCCTTGTCAGAAGCCTGGAGAGTCTCTTAGTCTTCTTGTCCCTCTGTCAATGTCAAATCCTCATCAAGATACATTAGCTCTTCCTTTTCAATAAACATCTCTCTCCCTTTGCACCAACTCTACTTCGTTTCAGATCCTCATTATGTCTTACTCTTGGTTACTATTGCAACTGATCCCCTTCTCTCTTGCCCTCTACTTCTCTCTACATTGTAGTTCCATCAATAAATGTATCACGCTTCTGCCAGAATAGTCTTTTTAAAAATATCATCAAATGGATGATTTCATTCCCTCTTGAATAATTCTTTACTGCTCTTAGGATAAAATTCAAACTCCTTATCATGACATTCAAAACCCACTCAAAACGTACCCTTTCTTTCAACATCAAATGTGCCTCAGGTTTCAGACATGCTAAAATTATTAAAGTTCCCTGAATTCATCATCCTCTTGGATATCTCCATGACTTTTCTCTAGTTGGAGTCATCTTCTTCCCTTTTCATCTGGTTGGCTTCTTGAATAGAATGAAAAAGATGCTTCATGATATCATCTCTCTCTTTTTTTTAAGATTTATTTATTTATTTGACAGAGAGAGAGAGAGAGAGAGAGATCACAAGTAGACAGAGTGGCAGGCAGAAAGAGTGGGAAGCAGGCTCCCTGCTGAGCAGAGCCCAATGTGGGGCTCGATCTCAGGACCCTGAGATTGTAACCTGAGCCAAAGGCAGAAGTTTAACCCACTGAGCCACCCAGGAACCTCCATGATATCATCTCTTGACTGACATAAACATTCCTTCAACATCTTGTAAAAATTTTTAAATTAAAATTATTATAAACGTCTTTTTTAAATTCCCAACGCCCCTACTACATATAGAATTTTAAAAGGACCAGTAAGATACAATTCCTAGTTTCAAGGACCTTGTATTCATTTGAGGAAAATGTTAAGATATTGGAACAAATATTGCATATATAAAGATACATAGTACATTTTATTGCTAGCGCTTTTTGTACCAATTTTTATAAAGCCTAACTTCTAAATCTCTTAAAAGCAACACATCTTTCTCTCAACACATCTATGTCAATATCCGCTCAAGTGACCACCAAAACTTAATCTCATATCCCTTTAATGTGTTATCAACACTGCTGGCAGACTGATGTTTCTAAAATATAGATTGGGTTCTATAACTTCCCGGCTTAAAAGCTTTTAGTGGCACCATGTCGTCTATGGGATAAAATCCAAACTAGGTGACACTGCCTTCACGGCCTATTAAAATCTGACTCTAAATTACTTTACATACTTTATCTCCTACAAATCCTACCTACTCTGATTCTAGCAACAAAACACATCGTTGTTTGAACCTACCACGGCTTCCAACACCTCTTGCCTCTTCATGTTATTCATTTTTTCTGGAATACCGTTTCCACTTGAAGAGTTAGTACTAACAAAACTACATTTTCCTCTCAAATTTTTCTTTATGTGCCTCCCTGATATCATTACTCAATACTGTATAACCACAGAAACCTACTAACTACTCGTAAAATAAATGTATAACCACAAATACCTACTACTCACACAATAGCCCTGTTGTATTTTTATTTCAGAATACATAGCTCTTTCTTATACTGGAGATTCCTCAAATGCACAGACTGTGTTTATTCATCTTTACGCTTCCAAGAGCGTAACACAGAATAGTTTGCAAGGGGTAATACATGTTTGTGAAAGGAAGGAAGGAAGGAAGGAAGGAAGAAAGAAATGAATGTATACATAGTCCTACAAGGACGCATAATTTTATCCATTTTGATTGTTTTTGTATTGAAATGTATTGTTCATATGATATATACTCAAATATGTGTTATACACACAAATAAATATATCATCTGTTATACACAATTTAAGTAAGACTAGTCATTTATTTGCCATCAAGATATGGATACTTTCTTTGGTTACGGAATTATTATATAACATGCCAATGTATAAATCTGATATTATATAAGCCCTGGTAGGGTGACAGTACTGGCAAAAGCACTGGGTCTTAGTCCATATCTGGACTAGAAGACAATTCCAGTAAGAATAGACTACCACTATTCCTGAGCATTTCAGACAAGATTGATATAATTAATCCAGGACTAAGTGGTTGACTGGTCCCATTAGTTGACTTTATGGAATCCTCCATGTTCATTTCCAGTATTGGCAGATTGAGCATGCAGCAGTGGCAGTATCTAGACCTGACACAGAGAAAGGGAAACGCTGTTGTTGGATTATCCTCTTCATGGGTCCAGAGCTCAAGCACTGGGGCAGAGGGGAAAGTAAGAACAAGAAGGAATTCTTGCTAATATCCTTAAGAAAACTCCTCTTACTTTCCTGTTGTTAAGGGCTTCCTCTAGGTTCGATGTTGCTTAGGTAGTTAATAATTTAGACCCAGATTCTCATGCTTTTTCCCTACATCAATGATCGTTCCAGGTGCCTCTTCTATAAAGTTCTTGTTGTTTCTTCACTGCATCTCAATCTTGCTCTTTGCAGACCCCTGACCAACCAGGCCAGCCAACTGTGACTGCTCAAGTGTCTGCGTATATAAAGGTAGATCACACCTACCTACATGTTGTTTACAGCTATTTACATTGGAAGAATTTCTTCTAACCACTGTCTTTAGGGCCATCTTTGAGCTAGAGTGTAGGAAAGCAGAAGTTTAGTTTGACTTGAAGAAATACATCCAGTTAGTTTACACACTTAGGGAAACTCCCGAGAAGCCATATATATGGGCAAAGGGAGAAGCATTTCTTCCAAGGAGTAAGTGAAACAATTACAACTTTTCATGTAAAGTACTGTTCCTTCTGGATATGTGAAGGCCTAAATCTAAATGTACCACTTCAAATATACACTAAATTATATTTCACACAACTTTCTTCATTGTATCTTCACTGCTCTGGTTGCATAGTCAGATGTTCTGGGTGTAGGCATTCAATTTCTACTGGGTTCTTCAGCAAATAAGGATTTGGTTTTCAGAGAGCATGTAGTCTTCTGCTGCAGATGACACAACCCTGAGATAGATGCAAAAAGTTTAGCTAACTTGGATACTTCTGACACGACTGAATTTAAGACTCATGTGGTCCAAGCAAGAAAATCTGTTGGTACTGCTCTACAATTGTTCCAAGTGTTAAAGATTCAGTAAGCCCTGTGACTCTTTCTTAGTGGCAGAATGTATGTTGAATAATAACTTGTCTTTTACTTCAGAAAGTAAATCCTCATTGAAGTGGCAGGGCTATATAAATTACCAGGAGTTCACTTACCAATTCTGGGATGCATAAAACTTATGAGGGTATCTAGAATACCTGTTGAAAACAGGTTCAATTAGCATAATAAAATCAATACAGTAAACTATAGTGACGTTCCATAAAATCATAAAATATCCCCAAGGCATCCAAAGAGTGTGATATCGTAGGAGCAAGAGAGTTACAGTAGCCCTGGTACAAAACTGTGAATAAACACTGGTTCTCTTCTCTTAATAAAAGATGTTATTTTGATAATACTTATTGATAGATACTGAAAAGAATGCATCTTCCACATTAATAGTGACATCCAAGTACAGAATTCATGTTTTTCTTTTCTAGAAACATATCTAGCAAAACTGCTTCAAATGTGGTATCACCTTTAGGTTTAGTAATCTATTAATTGCCATAGTTAACCTATGTTTTGAAAGGGCCATACAAATGGACTGAATGAAGATATCATGGAAATGATCACCTCTGATTTTGAGGGTTACCACTAACTTCTGCAATTTTTCCTGGGATGTGATAGTCTTTATGATTTACTATCTTGGATTAGAGGGTGACTAGGAGTATGCTGGGGCATTTCTTTGGTCTTTCTTTTTATAACAGCTTTCCCTCAACAGACCAGAAACTGACAAGATTCTAAATATATGCAGTCTAGTGTTTCACCTTTTGAAGAATATTTTGTAATATTGGTAAAATATATTTGATTATTTTACTTTACATATGATCCTTCATCAAAAGAATCCTTTATTTATAGAATTTTTAAACAATTATACTGAAGTACAATTTACATGCAATAGGATTTACCCACTTTAATTCAATGATTAATGTTTCTAAATTTACAGAGGTTTCCATTGAATTAGTGTCCCTATCTCCAGGCCTAACCAAACACTAATCTACTTTCTGTCTCTCTTATTTACCTTTTCTGGGAAACTAATATAATTATGCACATAATTTATACTAAGGATTTATTTTAGTGAAGATTTTCTAAATTTAGGCTCATAATTTTAAAAATCCATATAAGCTTCTGTAATTTTGCCCAACTATGGGACTGAGTATCAAGGCTCCAAGAAGCTTCAAAGATGCAGAAATACTATAAAGGGTCTCATAAGTGAATTCAACCCAGTCAGAGTTCTCACGATGTAGTTCATAGCTCACCACCTCAGGACTGTGCTTTAGAGTTCACCATGTGTTTGTTTTTGTCACTAGTTATATACTATGTTGCTTTGATAATCAGTGCTAAACTCAGAAGTACTCAACTGTTATTTTCTTCCTCATCGATTTTTTAATCTCAAGGTGACCCAGTCTGATGTATGCCTATACCCGTTATACAAAGTTGCCAATATATCCTAGCCGGCAATACTAAAGGTAATAAAAGTTGCAAGTCATCTATCTAAAACTACCTGGATAATGAAAGCTCATTTCAGGGAGCTGAATAGATAAGATATTGATTCTGGTGAAAGACAATGTATGCTCAACTCATGGTCTGGTAATAGAGAGAATGGAATTAGAGAGGCTGGCTGTCACCACAAATAACTTGAATCTCCTCATGAACTAAAATGGTTTCTAAATCTGTAAAACTTTCAACTTGGAGGAACTTAAAAAATGCAGCACTGTCAAGTAAAGCAGAATGAATGTAGAAGAGGATTTCATTATTTAATTTACAATCTAGATACTTGATGTATCTCTTCAATTAGATTGGCTCAAGTTACTATTCTGCATCACATATTAAACTGAGGAAACTTTCCCTCTCCTTATTTTGTTAAAGTTGGGATTTTTTTGTTTTGTTTCTTTTATTTTCAGTGCTTATGTCCCCAGGCATTGTTCTAAGTGTTAGGGGACCCAATATTGAATACTGAATGAAATAGAAAAAGTATCTGAATTTATAGAACTTTATATTCAAGTGAAAGGAACAAAAAGAAATAGAAGTAAAAAGCTAATTGTACGTATGATTTTTAGTAGTAAAACATTTACAATGTAAGAAATGAGCTTTAGAAAAGTAGAGATACCTGTTCTGGATACAGTTGTCAGGGAAGGCCTGTATAAAGGTAATCTATAAGCAGAGAATTAAGTGAACTGAAAGTATAGCCATATGAATATCTGGATATGAGCTTTCTAACCTAACCTGAGGGGAACTCAGGTATAAAACTTCAGAAAAACATGACAGGCATATTTTTGGACAAAAAAAAAAGTCCAGACTATCTGAATAAGAGTATGAAAAGTCAGACAAGAGGTCTGAGTTATCCAGGGACCAGGGTTAACTAGGGCCTCACAGAGACCGTGATAAATATTATGGATTTTGTTCTAAACATGGCTGGAAAGCCACGCAGAGATTCTGAGCAGAAGAATGATAGTTATTTTTTTAAAGAAATAGTCTGGCTGTGAAGAAGAGTTGCAAAGAAAGGAATCTTCAGAGACTAGGTGATAGAGTTCTGAATTAGTTCAAACAAGAGATAAAAATGGCTCAGCTTAGAATGTTAGTGATTACAGCTGAAATAAGTATATTCAATTTGGTGAATAATTCAAAGATAAAGAATTTCTTTATGTATTAGACATAGTATTTGAAAAGAGGCAAAACTGATTACAGTGTCCTCAGTCTAAGCAATTGATGGACAGGTAGTCTCATACACTTAGAAAAGACGGGACAATGAAAAAGTTTCATAGAGAGGAAATGGGAATCACAAATTTGGACTTGCCTATGTTAAGTCTCAACAAAACTAAAAAGCAACCTACAGAATGGGAAAAGATATTTGAAAATGACATATCAGATAAAGGGTCACTAACCAAGAATTTATCAAACTCAATACCCACAAAATAAAAAATCCAGTCAAGAAATGGGCAAAGAACATGAACAGACATTTGTCCAAAGACATCCAGATGGCTAACAGACACATGAAAAGATGCTCAACATCACTCACCATCAGGAAATGCAAATCAAAAATCACAATGAGATATCACATCACACCTGTCAGAATGGCTAAAATTAACGACTCCAGGAAACAACAGATGTTGATAAGGATGTGGAGAAAAGGAAACCATCTTACACTGTTAGTAGGACACAAACTGGTGCAACCACTCTGGAAAACAGTATGGAAATTCCTCAGAAAGTTAAAAAATGGAACTAACCTATGACTCAGCAATTTCACTATTAGGTGTCTACTCAAAGGATACAAAAGTACTGATTCAAAGGGCAACATGCACCCTGATGTTTACAGAAGCATTATCAACAATAGCCAAAATATGGAAAGAGCCAAATGTCCATCAACTGATGAAGGATAAAGAAGATGTGGTGTGTATACACACACACACACACACACACACACACACACACTGAAATATTACTCAGCCATCAAAAATAATGAAATCTTGTCATTTGCAATGACATGGATGGGGCTGGAGTGTATTATGATAAGCAAAACAAGTCAGTCAGAGAAAGACAAATACCATATGATTTCACTCATATGTGAAATTTAAGAAACAAAACAAGCTTCCTGGGTGGTTCAGTCCAGTTAAGCATCTGCCTATGGCTCAAGTCATGATCCCAGAGTCCTGAGATCAAGTCCCACCTTGGGCTCCCTGCTCAGTGGGGAGGCTGCTTCTCCCTCTACCCCTCCCTCCATTCGTGATCTCTTTCTCTCTCTCTCACAAATAAATAAATAAAATCTAACAAAAAACAAAAAAAAAAAAAAGAAAGAAAGAAACAAAACAGTTGAACACAGGGAAAAGGAAAAGAAAGAGAGGGAGGCAAACCATAAGAGAGAAATTTGATGGTGTGGGTGGGAGATGGGCTAAATGGGTGAAGGGTATTAAGGAGGACACATGGATTCCTGGAACATTATGGCATTTCTAAGGCAGAAAGAGGAAGACAGGCATCAAAAGCAGCATTGATCCCTAGCAGTGATTACTACCAGAACCCAAGAAATAAAACTGTTTTAAGAATGAGGGAGTGATCAACAGTGTCAATTGTTCTGAGAGTTCAATTAAACAAGAAGTGAATTTTCACAGATTAACTGAGATAACATACAACTCCACTTCAGTGGGGTAACACAAATGTTTACTTCTCATCTACATAGAAATTCATTGTCCATTAGCAGAAGGCAGAAACAGTGAGGGCCTGCACCATGCAGTCATTTTCATGCTGGAGCTCTTCCAACTCCAGAAAGAGTAATTATTATTACAGGAGCAGTCACATTCTGATAGAGGAATACGGCCAATCTTTGGCAATCTGGCAAAGAAATCTGGCAAGAAAGTAACTAGAAATAAATACCCCTACCTCACCACTCTTTCCTTCCTCTCATCTCTTGCTGTTCCTTCAGTTGATTAAATTCAACTGGAAAATAAGAGTCAAGAAAGGCATTAATGCAGTTCATAAATTTAAGAAATGTGGAGGGAGGTCATACAATTTGAACACATTTTCTCTACCCCACTCTTGCTTCACATGATTGTCCTCTGACTTAGGGCTGTAGATTTAGTTTAGATACTTTTTACAAAGTTAAGCAAATTCTCATTTCTTATTTGTTTACTAAGTACTTTTTTCTTTGTTTTAATAAATGAGTATTAAATTCTATTTTATTTTTGTTTCAAGTTTTTATTTAAATTCTAGTTAACATATACTGTAATATTGGTTTCAAGAGAATTTAGTGATTCATCACTTACATATAACATCCAGTGCTCACCACAAGTGCCCTCCTTAATACCCCCTACCCACTTGACCCATCCCCCACCTACCTCCCCTGCAGCATCCACCCTAATAGCAGCATTATGAACAATAACCAAATTATGGAAAGAACCCAAATGTCCACTGATTGATGCATGGACAAAGAAGATGTGGTATATACACACAGTGAAATATTACTCAGTCATAAAAAAGAGTGTTGAATTTTAAAGTTAGAATTTCATTTTTTAATACTATTTCATTTTTTTCCTTCATAGTTGGATGTGGTAAATCTTTCCATGTGAAGTTGATTTATGCATTTATTTATTTAATTTACATCGTTTGATTAGCTGTCAAAGTTGTAGTGTTCTAATGAAATGACATACAATTTTTCCTATTTACTAAAGATACATTTGGAAGCCCTGCAGCTCTAACTGTTCCTGAATTTTAATAAAATCACCCCCATGAATATCTGAGCTTCTTATATATTGTTTCTGTGAGGAAAAGAAGAATTAACAAAGTATTTAGATTTTCAATTCCATCAGTGGATATTGTTTTATTCAGGTATTTTATCTAATCTTCATTAAAAATAGAAAATAAATTGGATATTTTAAAAATGTATTTGTCCATCAATTTTACTCATCTCATTCTCTCCTTCATTTGAGCTGGTAAAGTTTTATATGATCTACTCTCTCTCACATGTTTTTCCCTATTCAATTTTTAAACAATAACTTTTATTTGTGTTCCTTCAGTGATTACTCTTAAATAGGTGTGTCTGTGTCTACATATTATAATATATGCAATAAAATTAACATTATACATTAAAGTTGGTCTACTGGTTCTAGATTTGAGTTACTAGCATCAACATGAACTCCTACTGTGTGTTACTGGAGACAGCTGATGCATATATAGACAATGAAATAAATATAAACATATATACACGCATGACTTAATATACATGCATTTCCTAATTCTCTGCATTAAGAGGGCCTGTAAACATTCCAATGGCACATCTAATACCCAGATCTTGGTTTCCATATTTCATTTACTACCAAAAGGAGCCAGAGCTCACTGGAGAAGTGGTTAATTACAGAGTTTTGGCAGGGCAAATACACTATGAGCCTGGGATATGTTGTGGCGCCAGAAGGGAGTTCATAGTTCATGTTTTCACGTACGTTAAAAAAAGTAAAGAAAAATACTAACCTTATAATCAAACCCACAGTTTGAGGTATTTTATCAAAGTAATAAAAAAAAAAAAGAACAGAAATTGGTCAATATCCACAGTGGAAAATGTACTCCACAAGTTATTATTTTGACAGTTATGAATTACTTCAATATTTTTAAATTTGTAATTTTTAAGTCACAATATTATTAAACCAAAGTTTTATTTAGCTTGCATTTTCAAGATTTCTTGATATAAAATATTTAATAATTAAAATGAATTAGAACTTTAGGACAGAAATTTACACTTCTAAACAGATGTGTGTAAAAGAAAAAGATAATGAATAATTATTTCCAAGCATGTACCCTCTTCCTATGTTCTCCTTCAAATAGAAATCAGCCCCTTTGACTGCTAAGCATTTTATTAAACTAATCAAGCTGGTAGTTTGAAAAATACAAAATGCTATACCAATGATAACTGGAGCAGGAGAAAGCATTTTTCAAATAGAAAAGAAAGATGATATATAATAATAGAATGGGAGAGGGCAGGACTTGTGAGCAAATAACTGAGAAATTTCAGGAAGACTTTTAAATTGGAAATTTAGAGTTGGGATGAGGGTTGTTTCCAGCTGTCTTCTCTGAAAGGAATTATGAGAGGGATGAAATGCAAACTGTTGATTCTAATAAGTATTTTAGTAATCACTGCCCCACACACAAATACCCACATACATTTAGGGGCTTCTGAAAAGCCTGAGTAAACTTCTAAGATGTTTACTTCTGATATAGTTATTTCTTTAATTAGATGGTGGGTTTTACCGAAGTACTGCACTATGTCTCCAATAAAATATTAGTTTATAATAGAATATAAGTCATGGTCCTAAATTAATGAATTTGTTGAGGTAATCCAAATGTATGATTATGTTTAGTTATACAATATACATTCAGTTCAGAGTTAGGTAATCACAGGAGTCTTACCAATGAAGGGGAAAATGATACCATAAAGACATATTCTGATTTTGCTTTTGCTCTTATCAACTACTACCCTAGAAAAGCCAACATTCACTTATTCATTAAGATTTATATAGTCATGAAGAGAAAATCTGGAGTACATAAAAGTTTCCAGAACCTGACAATGCAGGAACAGTCGTGTTAACTAATTCTTTCATGCTTACTTCCCTTTTCTTACTACTACTTCTTTTATCACTGATTCCTCGACTCTCTTCAGTATAATTTTACTGATGGTCCTTCAGATTTCTGGAAATTGGAGTTTTTATTAGTTAATATAGTCTCACGCTCATTGTGCAGGTTCTTTTACCACTCAAAGTAAGTTATACTATGCTTAGAAGGTCTTTAGCAAGATAGTCATGGGTTAACATTTTGACTTCACATTTATTTTAAGTCACTAATGATCTTTTTTTTCATTTGCCACAATGCTCCTATTGCCCTTCTTTGTTTTTTCAACTGAGGTGCTGAAAGTCTGAATGACTTTCATGCCTAAATGTCATGTTACAAAAATATTAATAGAAGACAACAGTAAAATAGGTGGTGTGCAGCTGGGGGGAGTGGGATAAAAATCTTGTGGGAAAACCTGAAGGAAGTTGATAAGAAAGTTAACTTAATGGACACCCTGAAACAGAGCCTAGTAAGATATGTTGAAAGTACCTGGACTGTGTTTGTGAGTGAGTAACCAAAGGAGGCCACTTTATGTAAAATTATTGCATGGAAATGTCTCTCTCATCATCACCCTAAAATAACTCCCTCACTATATTTATCTAAATTTCTGACCACTGACTCTCACATTTTTTTTTCCTTCAAGAATTACTGATGAAATGGAGGGTTATAAAATAAGCTTTTAGGAGTATATGGTTTAATGTGATTAAGAATAAGAATATTGATGAAAATATTTTAATTCCTAATATGCACACAATAAAATATGATTATGAAGTGAACACTAGTTTCAGAGAATTTAACTTGCATTAAAAGTATAAAGAAACAGAGTACTTAGAAGGATATAATCAATCTATTTAAAAAGCATAAACACAACTTGGTTAAAGTGTTAATAACATGATAGGGAAAGAGTCAATGAGAAAAATGCATTTGAAGTCAGCCTTTAAGGGTGAAAAGAGCTCTATGGGATAAAATGAATCCACAGTTTCTATTAAAATCGAGAGAGAGAGAGAGGGAGAAATAGAGACTTGATTTTAGAGAGCAACTGTTAGATGTGGTGTGCCCTTTCACTTGAGATTTAGTAGAGTGCTAAATCATTAATGTGCAATTCCTTTGTAATGACAAGTAAAAAAAAACCACGTAGCTAGCTTTAGCAAAATAAGCTCAGAACTATTATATGTCAAGAGTCAAATTCATGTAAGGTAATAAGGAATAAAACCAGCCACAGCTTTGCTGCTTTCAAGGTAAGCTTTCAGCTCCTATTATCTAACAAGAATGGTTAGCAAATCCAACTAGTTTACGTAACTCAAACATTTTCATTTTGGTTGAAACCTAAAGTAAAAATTTCAGGCTATCCAGAACACGTGGATTGAACACAGGCCATACTTTTCCAGAAGCCCTACCTCAAATAGTGGAATGCTTTTAAGTCCATATTAATTCAGCGGTTGAAAAAAGCAGTATTTGGACATGTTAATTGATCTACTATTTTTTTCACTTGTATGCAGCTCCAGTTAAGAGATCATCTGACTTCTATATGATTACTCTAGGTCTATTCCAAAGCTGAAAATGTGTCCCTTAAGGTAATCTAGCAAAATTGGTTGAATGAATTAAATAATTCATCCAGGAAATACTTGAGCAAATCTGAATATAAGTCGCTACAGGAATTGCTAAAAAATAAGGAATAACCCAAATAATTCATTTAAATAACCTAGTAGAAAAGTTAGGCAGTCTGTGACTTCATGTATTCATGCATATTTTCTGCTGTCAAGAATTTGAAGGCACTTTATGAATGAATACATGAACTCTCTGACCTGCTTTTACATCTGAACTGCAATATGAATAAATACCTCTGGTATACAAAGGAAAAATACACATTCAGAAAAAAGATTAAAGATAAAAAATATTAGAAAGAAAAAAAAGGGGTGCCTGGGTGGCTCAGTTGTTAAGCGTCTGCCTTCGGCTCAGGTCCTGATCCCAGGGTCCAGGGATTGAGCCCTGCACTGGGTTCCCTGCTTGGCGGGAAACATG